CGGATCTGTAAAGAGGAGTGGATCAAAATCCCTCCTGAGATGTATGCAAACCTGGTGACCAACTACAAGAAACGTCTTACCTCTGTGCTTGCCAACAAGGGTTTCTGCACTCAAACAGACATAAATAGTCAAAAGGCCCTTTTAATTATTTATTTTATTTTTTGTAACTTTATTTCAATTTATTTTTGTACAGTGGCATAAGTATGTGACCCCATTGGAATTTTTTTTTTTTTTTTTTTTCATTAAATGGTCATAAAATGTCCAAGTTTATTATGTATAGACAAACACGGTGTGCTTAAGCTAACAACACAAAGAGTTATAATCGTTCATGTTTTTGTCGAGCATCTTATTAAACATTCTCAGTGCTGTCGGAACAGTAAGTGAACTTTACCTTGTTGCCATTACTTGGATGATCCACAACTTCTTTTTTGTTTTGTGATGAGTTTCGTAAGTTGTTTGTGAGTCCCTTGTTTGTCCTGAGCAGTTAAACAGCCCACTGCTCTTTAGAAAAATCCTCCAGGTCCTGCACATGCTTTGGTTTTCCAGCATATTCTTCATATCTGAACCCTTTACAACAATGACTATGATTTTGAGATCAATTTTTTCATACTGCGAACAATTGAGGGACTCACACAGGGTGAAACACAACACAAAGGGTGAAAACAGAATTTTCTAATTGTTTCTGCCTATTTTAAGATTTAGACATAGTACATGGTTCATACAAGGTGCTTGAAGTACTTGAATTTTGCTTTTTGAAATTTAATCCTGGAAAACTCTTGAAAACAGCCATATTTATGAATAGGTACTTGAAAAGTACTTGAATTTTTAAAAGGCAGTATATATAGATTTTTTTGGTTGGTATTCTGTCTATATATGTTAAAATAAACCTACCAAAAAAATGACAGACCCTTCATTTCTTTGTAAGTGGGCAAACTTACAAAATCAGCAGGGGATCAAATAAATATTTCCCCCACTGTAAATTCTGTTCTTTTGACATTTCTATTCCTCAAAGAATCCTGGAAAAAATGTATCACAGTTTCCACAAAAATATTAAGCAATGAGTGTGTCTTGTGGACCAAATCAGCACGTTAGATTTGATTTCTGAAGGATCGTGTGACACTAAAAACTGTAAGAATATTTCACAATCTTACTGTTTTTGCTGTATTTTTGACCATATAATTGGTGAGCATAAGAGACTACTTACAAAAACATTAAAATCTTATTGACTCTTGAACAGTAGTGAACTTTTGAACAGTAGTGTACGTTTAATATTTTTGCACAAATTGAAGCTTATAGTACCAAGTAGCTTTAAAGGGGTCATATGATGCTTTTTTAAAGATCATTATTTTGTGTATTTGGTGTAACAGAATATGTTGAAAAGGAAAACTTGAAATCTCATCATATGACCCCTTTAAGAATGTCCATTTTTAAAATTCACCTTAATGTCCTTTTTATAGATCAATATCAGTAACACAAAGTAGAGCATCTTAACTGGCAAAGTGAAATTCGTTATGGATTGCAGCCTTCAGCTATCTCAACCTGTTATCTCTGAAAATGCTAGGATATCATACAATTGCGTTTTCTGCGGCATGAAAAAAGCCTCCGTCCTTACAAGGCTCTGTTCAGTTTATTTGAAGCTCTGCCATGATGTTGCCATTAGAGCCCGAAGCTTGTTTGTGCTTCTTGTTACATTACTTTTTAATTACAGAAATAACTAGTTGGAGGCAGTTGTTTTGTGGGGATGTCGGCGGGGTGAAGGGGGGGTAGGGTGTTAGGTGACGAGAAAGAGGGAGTTGTCGAAGATTTATTTTGGATGTGACCTTCTCCACACTCGCTGCAGCTGTAATCAGTGGAATTAATAGCATAATCAAATTATACACAAACTCATAAATCATCGGTGAGCGCGCTGTCATGGCATTGGGCTATTAATGGCCTCCATTGTTTTGCTACCGTATTAAAAAATCACGTCCCCTGATTCCCGTCTTGATAGGAACTGAAATGCCATTTAGAGGCTATAAAGAGCAGGGGCTTGTGGGGGTACTGGATTTTCACAACTGTTAATTTAGCCGTGATGGCGAGTGATGTCGCCAGGGCGAGTGCTGGGGCCTGGAGAGGGAAAGGCAGTGCCCACGCACTCCGCCCGACTGCATCATTGCGACCGACAGCGGGCAGTTAATTAGAGTAATATCAGCTTAAACGTCTGTCAGTTAGGGTTAATGACATCAAAGGGCTTCCCCGCTGCCTCTATGGGGTTCTGTGGAGGACAGGAGATGGGCCCAGATGATTGCTGGCAGATTTAGCCTCTCTGTTTTTTTTTTTTTTTATCTTTGCACTTTATTAAGATGCCATGTCTCTATATTAATCTGGGTAGACAAGGCCAGACGTTTTTTCCCCTTGGAGTGAACAGCAAAATCTCACCATCTGTGTCTTTAAACATGTTTATGTGGCCTAATACCTAACCTTTGGCCTTCTTGCCTGTGGCATACAAGGTGGCGGGTGTGTGCCCCCAGGATTTCTTTTGGTGTATATTTATGCCTTGTTAATGAAAGAATATGTTAATAAGGGTTATTTGTTTTCTAAATGTGTGCTCACCAAGGCTGTATTTATTTAATCAAAATACAGTAAAAACAATAATATTGTGAAATATTACAGTTTCAAAGATTTTTGTCTGAATATATTTTAAAATATAATTATTTTTATTGTCCTCATTTGTAAGTCGCTTTGGATAAAAGCGTCTGCTAAATGAGTAAATGTAAATGTAAATTCCTGTTATTTATTCCAATGTTGATAATAATAGTAAATGGTAATAATAACATAATTAATACTAATAATAAGACAATTCAGCATATTATAATGATTTCTGAAGGATCTTGTGAGACTGAAGTAATGATGCTGAAATTTTTAGCTTTGCCATCAATTTTAAAATTTAATTGAAAATACATTTATAACTGTAGTAATATTTCACAATTTTTTAATGTATATTTTTACTGTGTTTTTGATTAAATAAATGCACCCTTTGTGAGCATCAGGGCGAGTGCTGGGGCCTGGAGAGGGAAAGGCAGTGCCCACGCACTCCGCCCGACTGCATCATTGCGACCGACAGCGGGCAGTTAATTAGAGTAATATCAGCTTAAACGTCTGTCAGTTAGGGTTAATGACATCAAAGGGCTTCCCCGCTGCCTCTATGGGGTTCTGTGGAGGACAGGAGATGGGCCCAGATGATTGCTGGCAGATTTAGCCTCTCTGTTTTTTTTTTTTTTTATT